ACAACAACAAATCGACTTAGTCAAAGGCACACCATATTCTATGTAGGTAAAACCGTTACGTATTTATTTCTGTTTTGATTTTGCAAATGCGGCAGTTTGCGCAGGCGTCTAGAATTTGCATTGAATTAATTAAGTAGTCACTCCATTTGGTAAGTAAAAAAATTCTGTTGCAATCGAAATCGATGCATTGCATTTTTAACACGTTATTGGTGACGCTATTTTGACGTAGATGCCGTAAAACTATATTGCATATGGGCATAAATATATTCACATAAAATTGCATACCGTGTTTATATGTATGTACATATATATGTACGTACATTAGGGCGTCCCTTATTTTTTATTTTGAAAGAAATTTCAAGTCTCACCCTCCAAAAAAGTTGAGGTTGGCTACAAAGAGGGCTGCCCTAAAATTTTACACCCCTTTTCACCTCAAGTTTGAGTTGCTGTAACTCATACCACATGGTTACCCATAGGCATTATTATTATTATTAAACTAGATCATCTGAAAGTCCTATGCACTTTGAAAAGACCAGATGGTACCTACACTGGCACCCCGGAAGAAACTAGCAGGCTTCTGCTAGAAACCCACTTCCCGGGATGTATTCCCCAAGGCACATGTCTTTCAACAAACACGGCGAACGCTGTGTGCGCAAACAGGAGGACAAGGGGCCTAGCAGGAAGAATCGTCAGTGTGGAAAAGATATCGTGGGCCATTTCAACCTTTAGTGCATACAAATCCCCTGGTCCAGATGGTATCTACCCATGCCTGCTGCAGCAGAGCTTGGGCTTAATATCTGGGCCACTAGTCAGATTGCTGAGAGCAAGTCTCTTACTTGCTCACATACCAACAACATGGAGTGAAGTCAAAGTGGTCTTTATACCCAAAGTGGGGAAAAACTCAGCACAACTCCCAAAGGCGTATAGGCCAATTAGCCTCAGTTCCTTTCTAGTAAAGACATTAGAAAAACTTATTGACTTTCACATAAGGGATAACTTTCTCAGGAATAAGCCTCTGTGGCCAATCTACTATTACTGCAATACATAGCCTAACTCAAGTCATTGAAAAGGCATTGCGGTATAAACAGATAACTTTGTGTGCATTCCTGGACATATCAGGTGCTTTCGACAATACGTCTTATGAAGCAATATCGACAGCTATGATACGAAAGGATATTCCTGTCCTTCTAACGGATTGGATCATAAGCATGTTGAGATCCAGAACCATAATGGCGGAACTAGGAGACAACAGGCAAGCAGTAACTGCCACCCGTGGCTGTCCTCAAGGGGGAGTCTTATCGCCCCTACTTTGGACACTGGTTGTTGACGAACTTCTTGAAAAGCTAAATGGCAATGGATTCAAGGCATATGGATATGCAGATGACCTAGTCATCTACGTTGTCGGCTGGCATGAGGACACAATTTTCTCCAGATTGCAAGCTGCGCTCAGTCTAACGGAAGACTGGTGTGCTTCAAAGGGATTGTCAATAAACCCGCAGAAGTCCACCGCTGTCCCATGTACCAATAGAAGGAAAGTCAACTTGACTAAACCCACTTTGGCAGGGACAGAAATTGAGTTCTCAGAAGAGGCGAAGTATCTAGGGGTAACAGGGGTGGACAAAAGGCTCAATTGGAACTCACATCTCCTTAACATTACCAACAAGGCTACAAGGGCGTTTTATGCCTGCCAGAGACTCCATGGTAAAACTTGGGGAATATCACCCAAACTAACGTATTGGTCTTTCAATACGGTCGTGAAACCTGTTGTCACATATGCGGCACTGGCCTGGTGGCCAAAAGCAAAGAAAGCAAGTGCGTGTGCCACCTTGAGCAAGCTACACCGCTTGATCTGTGTGGCCATCACAGGAGCTATGCGCACCTGTCCAACGGATGCCCTCGGTATAATTACAGGCATTCCTCCTCTATCTATTCTGATAGAAAAGGAGGCCTGCTGGAGCTCCATACGGCTGCCCAATGTAATCAGCATGAAGAGTGGAGATCTTTGGGATCACTTGGAGGTTCTCAAGCCTTTTCTGGATGATCCCGCTATCAAGCTCACAGATATTATGCTACCGAAATTATCCTTTGATAAGCCCTACAAGGTCAGAATTCCTGAAAGGGACTGCGGTAAAGCGATAATATCTATGATTGACGAAGGGTCCCAAGTATGGTATACCGATGGATCAAAGATGAAAGACGGGAGTACTGGGGCAGGCGTGCTTGGACCAAGGTTCCAGAAAAGTCTGCCAATGGGCTCATACCCAACCATATTCCAGGCGGAGATCTTCGCAATCGAAGTCTGTGTTCGAGAATGTCTTCGGAGAAGGACAAACGGGGCCAGAATAAATATTATGTCGGATAGCCAGGCAGCACTAAGGGCCTTAGACTCATTTAAAACGACATCAAGGCTTGTGGACAGTTGTAAAACTCTTCTGAATAGCCTAGGAGCCCATAATAGAGTTACGCTGTGGTGGGTCCCTGGGCATGAAGGGTTTGAAGGCAACGAAAGGGCTGAGCCTTTCTGTGGTACATCTACAGGATACACTGCAGAACTACTTTGGAGTTGGGAGGAATCTCAGATTGCTGCCCACTGGCGTAAGTCAAAGGGACAATCAAAGAAATTCATAACTCCTTCCAAGAGGAACTCAGAAAGACTCCGTGAACTCAGCCGGGAGGGTCTTAGGACTATTACAGGCTACCTGACAGGACACTGCAAGTTAAGGTACCATCTAAACAAAATGGGGCTTTCTGTAGAGACGGACTGCAGGTTCTGTGGGCTGGCGGAGGAAACCTCGGAGCACATTCTGTGTGACTGCCCGCGTATCATGAATAGCAGACTGATGTACCTTGGGGAACGATTGTCTTCTCCATCCAAGATTTGGAACACGGCACCCTCCAATGTGCTTAATTTCTTGAATAGCCTAAAGTTTGAGTGACTACAATCAGGGTTTAGCACAATAGATCTTTTAGGTCGCAGCGCGAGTATACCCGACGTACTAATAATAATAATACCCATAGGCATACATGCGTATTATTCACGAGGTTCGTTCATTATATTCTAACTGTACAAAGAAAATGTTTAATTAAGATTATTGAACAAAAATTTTACAGGCAAGTTAAAGAAATAAATTTGCCTAATTTAGTGATCAAACATTAAAAAGTGGTTTTATTCTCTAAATTGCTGGACATGAATCAATATGTGGTATGAGTTAAAGCAATTCAAAATTCAAACGCAAGTCGGGTAGGGAAGGCGTGGTCCAAGGGGTGTAAAATTTTAGGGCAGTTCTTTTTGTAGCCATCCGCAACTTTCTGGGGGGTGAGACCGATAATAGGTGTAAATAAATCTGTCCATACAAATATGGGACAGCCTAATGTACATACATATGTACTCAATTGAGTACATGTGGCTCATTTATTAAAAATACAGACACAACGCGAAAGACCAAGTTTTTGAGCAAATGAAGCAGACTTAATCGTTACGAAATGCTTTATATTCTGTAAAAAAAAATTTTGCTAAAATCTGAGTTCAATAGTTTACACGAAAGAAGAAAACGTACATCTCTATAGAGACTCTATATAGAGACTATATATAGTGCTGAACTGAATATAGAACTGAGGAAACCTGAAATTTTTAAGTTTTTCACTAACCCCCCTATTATAAATTTTCACACGATAGACGATAAACGCTTGCAAGCGTATCGTACGAAATCAGTTCTCGTATAATCGTTTTCATACGCCCGACAGATGTATTGTTGCGAATGGCTGTGGTTTTTGTTCACTTTTTATTGTAGACCAGCACAAATCAGCTACGCTAATTATCGGATTTCATACGACAACATTGATTCGTAATAGATAACAAGTAACAGAATGCAAGCGTCTATCGTGCAGCGTACGAATTTATAATAGGGACGTTAGTGTTTGATAATATTAATATTATTGTTTTTGTACAACGTTTTTTCGTAGTAATTGCAACTTACTATTTATTGAAAAAAATATTTGATTCCTTTCAAATATTTACATATGTACTTTTTTCCTCCAAATAAGTTTGTTACTTGAAAATAAATGTGTTTTGTAAATTTTAATTATTAATAGGCTTTTAAAAATTAACGTTGGGGTATTAAAGACGACTTGTCTCTATTTGTACCAGGTTTGGGTATTAAAGACGACTAGTCTCTATTTGTACCAGGTTTGGGTATTAAAGTCGACTAGTCTACATTTCTACTTGTGCGGGTATAAAAGGGTACAATTAGTCTCTTCACACGACATGCTCGAACAAAAGGGAACAGTTCAGTCCATACAAAGGGGTGCAAAGTGGCATTAGTCGCATGTTCCTTTGCGACTCATCGCGGACTCGTCGCATTTTTTGCAGGGTAGATACTATAGTAGCAAGACCGCCATGAGAACTCGTCTAAAACGAGGTAAGAATGGAAATATTGAGGCTTAATAACTCCAAAGCGCCCAGAGTCAACGTTATAGCGACTGAGCCGCTTTAAGCTGTTAACTCGAAATCTTTGACGTTGTGCCTTTAATGTGCGGGATACATTATGCGAACGATCAAAAGGTCAAACATTGTCTAAGACAGTTACAATTTCGGAGCTTCCATGTGTTACGATTGGCCCCATGGATGTGAATTGCCAATATTACATTGCATGAGCTTCAAGTTTTTCGTTTTAAACCTTACCGTCCAGAGGCGGCAAGGGTCCTACAGTTATCAAGAGCTACAGTGGCGGGAAAGCTCAGCCGAACACATTAAACATGTTTTTTTTTCAATTTTTATTGGGTAGTTATGTACATATTTTATAATAACATCCGCCCACACTGCCAATGCCACTGTTATCTATTCCTTATCAATCTTCCATAAAGCTAAGTGCGACAGTGATTTGCTGCCAATTACGCAATCGTCCTCGTAGCATTGACATATTATTATAATCCCATTAGTCATTTGTATAAAAGTTAGAAGGTATTAATCTAATTTTATATCGACTCCTGTCTCATTTCAGTTTCCGACGACAAATCGAAATGTTCAAGATTAATACAAAAACGGATGCCATCGCAATACAGCGTCAGGCCAAGACGACACCACTTGTCGATGACTATGAAATCTCCAACAAGGTGCTCGGCCTGGGCATCAACGGCAAAGTGGTACAGTGCACTAATCGCAAAACCAAACAAACATATGCGCTAAAAGTGCTGCTGGACAATCCGAAGGCCAGACGTGAAGTCGATCTGCATTGGCGTGCAAGCGGCTGCAGACACATAGTCAACATTATGGATGTCTATGAGAACACATATGGCGGCAATAAATGTCTGCTTGTCGTGATGGAATGGTGAGTTGTGTGACATATGCAGAATACTTCGTTATACGAATATGCACCGAATTCATTGTTTAATTTCCCTGTTTATTTCTTGTCAGCATGGAGGGTGGCGAACTGTTTCAGCGCATACAAGACAATGCGGATGGCAATTTCTCGGAGCGTGGTAAGCGCCTAAAGTGACATTATCTTATCTTGAGTAATTTTTAATGCATTTTCTTGCTTTGATTTCCATAGAGGCCGCACAGATCATGCACGAGATCTGCATTGCGGTACATTACTTGCATAGCCGCGACATTGCGCATCGTGACTTAAAACCAGAGAATCTGTTGTACACCACCAATGATAAGAATGCGATATTGAAATTGACAGACTTTGGTTTTGCAAAGGAAACGCTGGTAAAGGACACACTACAGACGCCGTGCTATACGCCATACTATGTTGGTGAGTGTAAATGCCTAAATTTAAAAAGCAACAGTACGGAGCATGGAGTAATAGGTGACAAGGTATTTTTTAGTTGAACAGTTTTTTTTTAATCAATGCGGCATCGCAGAAGAAGGCACAATGCGACATAGGTTTTGTATCTCAATGCTGAGACCTCAACCCTAAAAGCCCAAGACATCTTCAGTTTTCCTAATAAAAACTCAAAGGACATTCATAATTTTGAGAAGTTAGACTATAGGCATAGAAATCTAGTCATCGTCATTCTGTCTAGAAAATATATGGCTTAATTTAAAATATTTGCTATGACAACCGACTCCTTGGGAAGAAAATACGATTACCGATAAACTTGCAGGGATTTAGCATAAACCTCTTACATCGGCCCATAGCCCTACTGCGGCATATAAAAGGTGACGTTCTCTACTCTAGCCAAAAAAGAGGGAAAAGCTCATAGAAATCGCCACTGCGACACTCTACTAGTTCTAGAGCACTCTAACGCGCTTACAATCCAAAACGCTTTAAGGACTAGTTCCTCACACATTATGCAACTCTTGCCTTGACTGCGCATCGCTCGAGAATGGACAAGTAACTATCAATGCCCCTGTTGTAAAAGTTATATAAGTTATAAAAGCTTTAAGCTTGACGGGTGATTAGTATAGCGACTACTGAAAGAATCGTAGTCTGCATTACGACGTCTATGAGAGGAAAATATCTTAGATAAATAGAGGCTAATTAATCTGGGTCGTTATATATTTGATAAGCTAAGCAACAAGTTCAGACCAGAAGCGTTCTTATTGAGCATCGCGTTTTATGCAATGCCGAATAACTGGTAGTACACGCCTGCAGCCTAATTAAGTAGTAACATAATATCAATAATCCGCCTACGGATTTAGAGGTCCAAGGGTCTATATCACTGGCGTCTCCCCTGAAATTTTAATGAATCTGATTTCTAACGAATCACATTTGGGTTGATCACACCTTTTTGGTTATTTGGTTATCTAGTTAAAGTTTACTATTCCCCAGTGGTATTTATTTATTATAGCTCGATAACCAGCAAGGTGTGAGTATCTTGATTTGCTTTTCGTTCGCTACATCTACTTAGCCTTTACTTTTTTAAGCCTTATGTAAAGGGTTTGTGTGACAATTTATGCTCCACTGTTTCCTGGTCAATATTAACCACTGTGTTAAAATTTTCATCGGAAAAATGCCCCTTAACCCAAAAAGACTTCGAAGTGTCATACTTTATATGACAAATTTGTTTTTAGTTTCGCACGTTCCTGGTTTATGCATTTAACGGAATTACATTTATTTTCTTGCAGCTCCCGAGGTGCTTGGTCCCGAAAAGTATGACAAAAGTTGTGACATCTGGTCGCTGGGTGTTATCATGTACATTCTACTCTGCGGCTTTCCACCATTCTACAGCAACAACGGTCTTGCCATCTCACCGGGCATGAAGAAGCGCATACGTACCGGTCAATATGATTTTCCCAATCCGGAATGGGCAAATGTCAGTCAAGCTGCCAAAGACGTAATCAAAGGCATGCTAAATGTGGATCCCACCAAGCGTTTGACAATCGATCAGGTGATCAGAAATAATTGGATTGCACAGTACACACAAGTGCCACAAACACCGTTATGTACGGGTCGTATGCTAAAGGAGGGCGAAGAAACATGGCCGGAAGTTCAGGAGGAAATGACACGTTCATTGGCCACGATGCGCGTCGACTACGATCAGGTGAGCGAAAAAGTAAACGTTAATTTAATATACCAAAATGTTTTTAGAGTTTACTAGTACCACTAAAACTTACATATGTATATACTCTAATTTTTCTTAAATTAAAATATAAATCAGATGCATGTCAAGGCGCTGGACAAATCCAATAATGCACTGCTGACGAAGCGGCGAAAAAAATTCGAAGAAGAATTGGCGGCGCAAAATAAAAAGTAAATAGCTTTTGTTTAAAAATGCAATTTACACAAGAACAAAAACCCATTTATGTATTTATAATAAACAAAAAAAAAAACACACACTTAATATTTGTTAATGGTTGCACTCAAGTACATAAGGTTTCTGGCCTACAGACGCGTACGTATGGAGTGATGCGGCGTTATAGACAACCTAAACAGTACATATATACATACATACTATCTACTAAATGGAGGAGAAGGTGCAACATACATACATATATATTTGGACTCGTAGTGCGTGCTGAGCCTGCGCATTCCAGCAACCAAATGCGCATCGTCAAGTTTGGAGAGATATTTTTTGACAATTTGGACGGTATTTTGTGTAATTTTTACATAGAAACGATACCTAGTATAAAAAATAAGTACATAAATATACATACATAAAATATATACAAGAGATATAATACGAAAGTGCTCTTTTTTCCTTTACTATGTAAAAGCTTATTTTAGTAGATTAAGTAACGCGCGTTGACAACTTACAGCTACCGCTAATTAATGAATTGCTATATACATACATACATAGTATGTACAATCATATGTATGTATATTCGTTCATACATAAGTATGTACATACATACATGCAATGAAAGTATGCAAAAGTTCCAAAAAAAATGAACGGCTTCAAAAAATAGCAAAGGTTATTGTTTTCAATGAAAAACAGTAAAATTTAATTAAAATGCATTAAATTTTTACGTATGTAAATACATACAAACAAATATACTTACATATGTAAAAAGTGCGCATTACATATGTATGTTTTGACATTGCTGGCGCATTTAATATCTTATGAGCTTTTATAGGCAAATGTTTATACAAACATACATCCATTAGGAGCAAAATCCCTTAGAAAAGCAATGTACCCAAATGTGAACCCTTTTAAAATTTACATATGTACATACAACAAATGCTCACGTTTGTTATGTCTGTACCTAAATCTGTGACCAATTAAATTTGTACTGTTGATTGAAAATGGTTTAAATTCATTAGGCATGTAATCAATTATTTACTACTTACATACAAACAAAAATATTAAAACAATTGAGATAATATTTGTACATACATACATACGTACATATGTATGTACATACATACATATACGCATGTATAATATTAATATTATTTGGTAAAAAGTATTTGTAGTTATAGGTATACTTAAAAAATGGACGAATGGATATGTATGTAGCTATAGTACATACATATTTACTTGTTAAAAATTATTAAACGAGTATATTATTAATGTATGGATTATGCATTAAAAATCATTAATAAAATATTGACTTGATTTTTCTAAAATATTGTCGAACGCTTTTGTAGGGCGGGCAACTATCGGACTCTCATGAGTAGTACTATACCGGCATAGTATATAGTATGCACGACTTGTAGTCTCACAGCCCTGATGCAATTAAGAGAGGTATTGTAAGTTAGCAATTTCTCATTCTAAATTAAAAAAAAATAAAAAATTAAAAATGGGCATGGCACCGCCTAATTATGGCTTCAGTAAGTAATAGGTTAAGCATCTTTGATATTTCTCTATATAGTGATGCTAAATTTCCAAGATTTGATATTTAGAGGTCTATTCTGCACTGGTAACAAAAATGTTCTGGCCGGTAAATAAAATCCGTGTCAATTTTTAAACGTTCTTCGTATTCCTTGCTGGTAACAAAATATTGCCCCATGAAATATGCAATGCCAGAATTTCCATAAATCGTCGTAGCTGAATTGCTGAATATTTTAACTGCATCAGAGAAGCGCAGCGAGTATGATCGAACTGAGTATATCCATATACATGTTCTCTGCATATGCGTACATCAGAGTGCTGGCGTTTTCCTTATTTAGACGTATTTAAATGTAAAATATGCTGAGTGGCGGGGAATATCAAAATAGGCACTCTTTGCTGATTACTGAACTGGATTAGCTCTGATCCAATACTTTTCGTGTAAAATCCTGTAAAAATGTCAAACAGCAAAACTACTCTCTTAAGTGAGAGTAAAAAGTGAGTAACAACCAAAATGAACGGGAACAAAAGAAAGAACGGGGAGAAGAAGAAAGCATTTTTCCTGTAAAAACGTCAACGAGTGATCGCTTGACACTTTTCATGATTTTACCAGAAGAAAAAGTTCGGGTTAAATCTTGCTACTTCTTTCTCTACACAACTCACCAAAAATCGCTCTCGTTTATAGGATTTTGGAGTACGGGATCATTTTTCCTGTAACTTCCTGCAATTTCGTGTAAAATCCTGTAAGTTCATGGAGTCCTGGATCAGAGCTATTGTCATAAAATCGAAAAATATGTTCAATTTTGTCCTAGAATAAAACTTTCTAATTTCGAAATATTTGAACGTACAGATCCCAAAAGTAAGGACTTGCCACCTCTTATTCTGGCAGAAGTCCTTGGCAAGTCGGCTTGAAAGGAGCGGATTTTTGTAAAATATCACGTTGAGCTTGGATAAGGTTTGAACCATCCAATTTTTCTACCCATTCTCATTCTGTCATCGTAACCACGTGATTTGAGCTAAAAATAAAAATCTTCTATAGAAGGATTCGGAAGATATCTCGATTATTCTTAATTTTTCGTAGGATGACAGTCCTAAATAAGTTAAAAATCATCCTATAGTAAAAATGTTGGACGCAACATCTATCCATCGCAAATAATATTCATTTAACTTTAGTGCAAAAGCAATTCGCCTGAGCTTTAAAATTTGCAAAAACCGCGAATACCCATGTTTTTTTTTTGCCAGTTTCTGCGATGAGTCACCATACTTCTTAGTCTTACTGTATATATATAATTATTATATTCATTTTAACGCTGCGTCCAGCGTAGACACTACAAATGCGGTGCAACTATTTTGTTTTGGAATAAAAGCCATTTTCGCTACAAAGACAGACGATGTGCGGAAAACGAATGGAACGAAGTTGCTAAAAATGTGATTCCAAATAAGTAAACAATAGGGCTGTTCAGGATGGTGAAAAAATTGATGTAGAAAAAATGTTTAAAATAAAGTCTGAGCTAAATTAAAGGTTAAGACGTATATAGTAAAATTTCATGGGAAATATTTTCGTAGAAGATTTTAACCCATTGAGAGGGTCATTTTGAGCATTAATTCAAAAAATCCTTCAAACAGGAAATTTGGAAGTTCGCTAGAGAATTGATATGCTCTAGAAAATTATTCTTCGGAAGATTTTACTAGGGGTATTCTCAGGCAAAAAGTCTTCAATAATCTATGCCAAGAAGGAATAACAGCTAAGTACAATTTTAAAAATTCTTTGTAGAAAAAAACCAAGTTTGAATCTTTTCAACGTAAAAAAAAAATTAGTTAAAATCGGGTTTTGTTGTTATTCCTTTTTGACATAGATTTCATGTTTTGTTTTAATTTTTAAAGACTTACGTTTGTGAGATGAAGATTTTGCCTGTGAATACCCCTAGTAAAATTATCCGAAGAATAATTCTCTAGAACATTTTAATCCTCTCACGACCTTCAAAATTTTACCCCACAACGGTCTCTTAAAGTTAGGGTAAAAACGACCCTTTCAGACGGCAGCCAATGGATTAAAATGTTATACGAAACTATTCCCCATAAATTTTACTACCTTAGTTTCGCTCAGACTTTTATTTTAGCCATTTTTTCTACAATTTTTTGGGCTTATCTCCAAAAAAAAAAAAAAATGTTTTAGTACGCACACTTACTAAAAGTTTTGTTTCGGGTGTAATTCGTGTTTTTTTTTGTCGCACTATGTAACCTATTTTATTTTCTATTGAATTATTATTTGAATTAGCCTGCAGAAAAAGTTCTTTTCGTATCGATTTTATTGTTTATTAAATTTATATTACAACAATACATTTTTTAACTTCATTAAGTTATGTATAATTACATCCTGATAATTAAAATAAAGAGGTTAAAAATTTATGAAGTTTGAATATTTGACGAAATGAGGAAAGGACGAAGCTCATAAAACGAAAATCAAATTGTCGATTATTAATCATTGAAATAAGACTAAAGACAAGAGGATATGGATGATCCACTTGTGGAATTCAATTTTGTTTTACTGAAACGGAAAAATTAATAAAATTGTTTAATACATAAATAAATGATCTCACTTATGTCAAATATCCAATTAAGTTAATTGATAACCAATAATATTTTATGTAAATTAATTAATTATAATTATGTATTATTATTGAAAATTCAGCCTTGCCAACGTGTTTATGTATATGTATTCTATGTACAAAAGTGTGATGTCGTTATACATATACGAATTGTCTCTTGAACCCTTTTGATAATATATTGATAGTTCTATGCCTATAAAGTATTCTAAGCTCTATTGTACCCGACTTCTTATCCTTTCTTAGAGTGCTTTAATTTTTTGCACTTCTTTCCCGCCACGCAAGGATATGCATAATCTCCTATTACAACAGTGGGCGAGACTGGGGATTT